CGATCTATAGGGCTCTCTGAGAGCACTACAGCACCCCAAACCACCTATGGGAAACTCCGATAGGGCCCCTGTCACCCTCCAGAGCCCCTATAGGGCTTCTGTTGCCCTACGAAGCCCCTATAGGGCACCTGTCACCCCACAAAACCCCTATAGGGCCCCTGTCGCCCTACAGAGCTCCCTATAGAACCTATAGGGCCCCAACTCCCCCCCTCACAGCGCCTACGGCACCCCTACGATCCCACACTCCCAGCACACCCCCCCACAAACGCCCTATAGGGCCCGGGATCCTATAGAAGGTCTCGTCCTCCCTATAGAGCCCAGAACAGCCCGGCCTCCCCCAAGGCCTCTACACCTCTACAGGCCCCGCGAGGCCCGTAGGCCTCAGCCGCCGCCTCAGCCGCTTTCCGACCGTTCCGCGCCGCTTTCCCGGCTCCGGTCGGGGATTCACCGCCGCCTTCTCCTCCTTCTCCGCGGTTCCCGGTGGCCCCGGGTCCTCCCGAGAAAGTTTTATTCAAACGCGGAACGGGAAAGGGGAGGCGGAGCCGCAACGCCATCTTGGGGAGGGCCGCGCCGCCATCTTGGGGGGGACGCCGGAAGTACTGGAGGAGCAGGGCGGAAGTCGGCTCCGCGGCGGAAGTCGGGTCCCTCGATAGAAACTACAAGCCCTTGTACTTCCGGTAGATCTTAAAGAGCCCGCGTCCTTTTTGGTTCTTAAGGAATCTCTACAGCCCTCCGGCTCTCACAGCGCCTATAGAACCCCCGTGTCCCCTATGGAACCTATGTCTCCCTATGCCCCCTGCAGCCCCAAGCTCCCTACAGAACCTATTCGCCCCCTATCCCCCCTAAGTCTCGTACTGAACCTATTTTCCCGTATGAACTCTAGTCTTCCTGGGAGCCTTATAGAATCCGTACTCCCCTGTGATCCCTTTAGCTCCAAATCTCCCATAAGCCCTATACCCCCAAACCCCCACAGCCCATTAACCCCTATAGAACCTATACTGTTCAAACGCCCCATAGAACTTCCACCCTTTATGCTCCCAATACACCCTGCTCCCATATAGAACCTCTATCTCTCCATGCTTCCTATATTCCCCAACCCCCATAGAATCATCACGCCCTATACTCCCC